TCTTCCCCATCTCCCTTTGTCCCCACACCATGCTACATTCTGGACACTCAGAGCCACTGGCTGTTTCTCCACATGTGAGGCTCACACTTGTCAGTTTCCTTTGCTTCTCTTGTTCTTTTCCCAGAAGATTCCCCTGCCTTTTCTAACTGGTGAACTCTTATTCTTTTTACTTTTTCTATTTTGACTTAATTTCAGACAGAGAAAAGCTGTAAAATTAGTATAAAGAATTCTCGTAGCCCTTTTACCCAGATTCCCCAAATGTTCACTTTTTAACGGCATTTGTGTCACCCTTTCTCTCCTCTTTTCCCCCAACACGTTTCTTTTCTGAATCCCTTGAGAATGAGTTTCAAATGATGATCTTTTACTCCAAGTACTTCAGTGTGTATAGCCTAAAAAAAGGACATTCTCTTACAGAACTGTAATAGAAATATAAAAATCAGGAAAATAATATCAATACAGCACTAAGTTTATTTGGATTTTGCGAATTGTCCCAATAATATCCTTTATGGAGAAAGAAAATCCTAGATCGTGCATTGTGTTTATTCTGTATCATGTCTCTTTTATTGTTGTCCTTTATCGGGGACAGTTCCTCCGTCTTCCTTTGTGTTTTATGACACTGACATTTTTGAACAGATAGAGTCCTTCAATTTGTGTTTGTCTGATGCTTTCTTCATGATTATATTTGGGTTATGAACTTCTAGTTGGATTATCACGTAAGTTATGTGGTTTTCTTCTCAATGAATCACATCTCACTCTTTTTTTTTTTAAGTGAAAGTCCCTCTTCATCTCCCTCTACTTCCACTCCCCTCCTCAGAGGTTACTAATTGGTATCCAGCCAGTACTTTCTCTATACATTTATATACACACATATCTATACACAGACTCACATATATCCTTTAAAATTATAACAAAAATGAGCACATAATAAATCTATTGCTCTGCAATTTTTCACTTAACTGTATGCCTTGGACTTCGTTCTATATTAGTAGATACAGATTCAAGTCATTCTTTTAAAAGCAGCATAGTTTTAAACATATATATCCTTATTTATTTTATTTCCCATGCATTAATATTTGTTTCCATTTGGCTATCACAAACTATCTTTGTATACACATTTAAGAATATAACTCATTTACAATTTTGATACTGTCAAAAAGCTCCCCTAAAAGGCTTTTCCAATTCGTATTCCCATGGTCACCGTGTATGAGGTCATTTGCATTTTTCTGATTATTGGTGATGTTAAACACTTCTCTATCATAGTTCATGGAATTTTGGGTTTCTTCTGGGAATTGCCTGTTGGTGTCCTTTGCCACTAGAATGCTGGATTGCTGGTCTTTTCTTTTTTGGCCTACTCCTCCACAGAAGGGGGTTTCTCCACTTCCCCTAAGCAACCGGTTGCTCCCTTCTCTGTTGTCCCACACTGTGCATACTGCACTCAGGCCTTCATTTGACAGACATTTCATACTGGATCCACTCATTCCACAAGCATTCTCTGTGAGTTCACTATGTGATTGGCCTTGGGCTAGGTGCTGGGTGTAGAGAGTCTCTCAAGGAGTTTAGTTTTGAAAGGCAGCTTTGGGAAAAGAAAGGAGCATGGGTTTTTGATTCAGACAAGATTGGGGTTTGAATCTGTGTGATTTAGAGCAAGTCACATGACCTCGCCAAGTTGCAATTTCAATACTAGTGAAATGGGTTAACACCTCCCTTACAGATTCACTTTGAGAAGGGGAGAGAAACATCTCTCTCAAGTGGCTAGCAAGGGCCTGTTACATGGTAGCCTTTCAGTGAGTGAATAGTAATCAATAGGCAATTGTTAAGAGGTCAAAATGATTAGTTAGTTCTTAGAGGTTCTAGGCGCTACTAATAAATTGGAATAAAAGGGAGGTAGCTCCTCCTTCTGCAACAGAAGGGTAAGGATGAGTACTACATGCCTCTTGCGTAGACTCTGCCACAGTACATCTCTCATCTTGCCTGCCCTCTGTAGCAAGGCGAGCCCCTTGGTCCTGGCCCCTCAACCCAATTCAGCTGCTCAGTTGATGTAGCACCACCACTGCCCTGGGGAAAGCAGGTGCTTCCTTCCTCAAATAAATGAGCTCTTTAGAACACTCTCTGTAAGAGAGGCTTCAGGACAGTTGTGCATGCTGCCACCCATGATCTCAAGAAGTGTAGACCAGAGACGACATGAGGTGGAAAGAGAAATACTGTGTGTGGCAGCCTCAAAGGGAGACTCAGAGACCTGCAACGCAGACAGTTCTGGCTCTGCTAGATGACTCTTGGCAAGTCTTCCCTTCTGGGCTTCAGTTTTCCCATCACTGCAATAGGACACTGGATCTTATGATTTCTAAAAGCCATCTAAATGAGAACTCACATGTAAAGGCAGAGTATGTGTCTGTATATATACTACTCTCTTTAGAAATCTTTTTATCCTTGGGACACCTATAGCTCTTTGTACCCACCTTAATGTCAGGGAACACTACACTGCATTCTAGTTATTGGAGATTATGACATGGTTTCCACAGTGAACTGACAGCTGGTGGATCTACATCTGGTTCTTGGTTTCCTAGAGCCTATGTGGAGTTAGAGTGACTTCATTCTTTTAACACCTTTGAGTGCTCACTGTCTGCCAAGCACTATGTTAGCTGGGGAAAATACAAAGACAAAACGTCCGTTTCTGTTGTCAGGAAGTCCACAATCCATCAGGGAGAAAACGAATATAAACACAATATAGCTGCCTTAATGGAGGTTTGTCTAGGAGGTAGCCTATTCTGTTGGAAGGTTTCCCTGAAGACCCACGGCTTGGGCAGAGTAGGGTGAATAGGAGTATGTTAGATGGCCAGTGAGAAGAACTTTACAGGCAGTGGGAATGCCCTCTGTAAAGGCACAGAGGTGGGAGAGCATAGTATGTTCTGGCTACTGCCTAGGATTTAGCATGGTGGTTAACAGGTAGGCAGATTCAGCTCATGAATTGCCCTTTATGCTATCCAAAGGACTCTAGGTTTCATGAAATAACCTAAAGCATTCTTAACATAGGAACGTAGTAAACCTTGGTTGAATGCATGAGTAAGTGTGAGGATTGGGCACAGTAATTGGAGCATTTCTAACCGTGTGACCTTGGGCAACTTAACTTATCGGAATCTATTTCCTTTTTTGTGAACTGGGAATTAAAAAATAACAACCTGGCACTTGATAAAAGCTCAATAAATTATTTTATTAAGATAACATTTGTTCTACACAACACACATTACCTAAACAATCTAGTAATCTCCGTGACCCATTTCTTAGTTGTTTCCTCCTCAGCAAAATGGGTCTTTCAATTTTACCTTTTCATTGTACCCTGTCCTCCTTCCTAGCTCTTACCATAATTTTAATTAAAATATCTAATTATTTTCCCCAGCCAAACTCTTAGATTTATAACCAAATTATCTTTATTTTGTGTTCCCAGCTAGACTCTTAGGTCTATGAGATCAGAGATTTAAAAAAAATTTACCACTATATCCGCAGTTGCCAGCACTGCATGCCTTTCAACAGAGGTTCAATACATGTTGGCCAAAAGAACCAATGTCAAGCGTGTCTTTCAGGACTGTTGCCAAGGGTCTGCGAATTGATCAAGCGCTTCATTATTTACAAAGTTGTACAGATGGGTTTATTATTACGAAGTATTAAAATGAAGTGTGATAAGAGGAACCAAAGCCAGAAGCTCCCAACACAATCGTGTAACCTCTGGAGGTTTCTAAAGGGCCAGGATTCACTTCAATCTTTTGCAAGAGTCCAGCTTGTCAAGGTTCACAAAGAGTTAAATTTGCTGCCTGTAAGAAAAATAGAGCCGGAAACGCCCCAGAATGAACTAAGTTCAACTTCAAACTAGAGGTGGAAAGTACCTGCCTAAGGTCACCTAGCGCACAGGAGAATTTAGAAGCCAAGCGCTCTTGAAGAGGCTTCTCCCTCGCTGGGGACCCCTGGAGCAGCGGGCCAAGCTGCCGGCCACTCGGACCCCTGTCCTTACCTGGGCCTTGGCTCAGATCCCGCGCCACCCGGCCAAAGGAGGGTGACTCAAGAGGTGGAGAGAAAAAGAGGCGGAGCCCGTCCTGAAACCTGCCCAGGGGCATCATGGGAGATGTAGTTTTTGTCGCGGGCACGTAATGGAGCGAGCTACCCCCTGGCTTTGTCAGGTAAGTAGGATCTCTTCCGCCCAGGTCATTCAAAGTGTCCCCTATTATAGATGTACCCCAGCTATCTTTGGAAGAAGCAGTGAAGTGAAAGGGGAAAAGCAAGGAAGACAAACCAAAAGATTATTAGCGGGGAAGGAAAAGGTTAACAGATGTTACGCATGCGTACAGAGGGCCCCCAGGGTGGGCGGGGACGGAAGAGGATTCCCAGGAGCTGTGTTTTCCCCGGAAGTGCCTGCCCTCCTCCTGGGTCGGCGCGGACGCGGTTTTCTTACCTCATTTCTCCTCGCCCCTCCCCGTCCCTCTACGCGTTTTGGTTCCTGGTTGGTGCTTCCTGGTCGCAGCCGCGGCAGTGAGTATGTGTGTGACAGACCCCGCGCCGCCCGTGGCCGGGGGACCCTTTCCCGCCCTCCGCCTCGCCCGCTGGGCTGTGGAACTAGCGCGTGTCCCCTCGCCGGCCTCCGCGTTCCCCGTCCGGCCCCGATTCGTGGCGGGGCGCGCCGTACTTGACCCCTTGGTGCGGCTCTGCCCCACGCGGCTCGGCTCACCAGCTGAGGTGTCTGCTTTACCCTGCCTGGCCAAAGCCTGAGGTCGTGGTTCGAAAAGGGCTTGCGCCCATGGCCTTGGTGGGGGTAGCGATTCCGTATGTTTTACCTCCACTGCCCCCAAGATTTTCCTGTTTTTTGGGGGAAGCTGGTCAGTTTAACGCGGAGGTCCCGCCGCACCGTGAGGGGCCCGGCCTGTGAGGACCGAACAGCCCTCAGCCAACTCCGGTCAGAAGCAGCAGCTGCAGCGACAGAAAAATTTCAGGAGATGTGCCCCTTCCCCTTCTCTCCCGTGTAAAACGGGAGATGTGCACTGTGTTCGCTAAGATTCTCTTTATCCCTCACATCTCGTGAACCCGCAGTTAACTTCAACTTTAAGGAAGAGCTGCTGGTGCGGTGGGAAAACTGCCTGGGAGTCAGCAGACCTGAGGTGTAGCAGCGGCTTTACAGCAGATTAGCTGGTGACTAGAAATCTCATCTTCACGTTGAGTTTATCCTTATTTGAGATTACAGGGTTGGATTAGGAGATCTTTTAGGCTCAAAGAATAAATAAGTAAGCTCAGATCTCGTTTCTCTGTGTAGAAAACAAGAGCGTTCAATTTAGTGACCCAGGTCCCTTACAAAACTCGATTTTGTGTTTTGAATACTTAGGCTATCACATCCAAAGACTTTTAAGTGAGTTGTGTGTATATTTCGACAGCATTATGCTTTTGGGACATTCAGTATTGCTGTTTTCTAGAGAATCTGAAGGTGGGGAAGAAGTGGAAGTGAGGATTGTTGAGATAGCTACAAGGATAAGATACTGCATAGCAAAAGGAAAAAGAGATGAGAAAGATGAAGGAAGTGCTTATGTATTCTGAATAAATTTAGTATAATTTTCTCCCATCAACATCTTGTATTCTTTTTTTTGTTTGTGACTATTGTTTCACACCTTGGGTTCTCTACTCCAGTTAGATTTGCTTCAAAGTGAAAGTCACATTTGAAGAATGAATAAACTTTAACACCAAAGTCAACTTAATAGTTTTAAATATCTGTCACTGTCAGGATAGCTCACTAAAAGTAAGTCAGATTTTAAGTTGAAAATTATTAATCACTTTCCAAGGAAAACTGGGTTTAAAATCAAGCTACCAATTTAAATCTTGAGAATTGGATACTTCTGTTATCAAGAAGTATCTAGGCGAAAAGTTGCTTGAAAGGAAATAACAGCAGAAGGTCCAGAATATTAAATTGGTAGACTGTTAGAGCAGAATTATTGGCTTTAAAGATTGTATAGTATAGTAAAATCCAAAAGCTTAAATAAGCCTTCAGTTGTCCAGTTTAAAAATCCAGTGAAGAAATACTGCTCACACTTTTGAATGTTGAGAGCCTTTGCAGTTATTCTCTATGGCTGTTTAATATTCCTTAAGCCATTTTAATTGTTTAGGTAAGTTTCATTCCCAAACTAATATTTAAGTTTCTTAACATAGCCTAAATCTTTTTTGGTCATGGGATTGCTTTAATCTTTGAGTACCAGCTTGGGAGGCTCCAGGGTGATAAACTGACAAACTCAAATATGCTTTGCCTTTCATTTAAAATGCCTCTTTTACGGGTTTTATACTCCATTGGGAAGTAAAATGAATATTCATGAAGTAAATTTAGGTGTGAGAACCAATTCAAATATAGCTTTGAAGGAAGGTATTTTTTTGTTTTTTTCAATGTTTATTTAAAAAAATCTTAGTGAAGACTTGGCTGAGAGTTAGGGAAATGTGAATTGGTCCTAACTATATTCTTAACTACACCTCCTTATCTCTTTGGACCTCTGTTTCCTTATATGTAAATTGAGGATATTGTGTGAAATAATCTCAAAGTTCTTTATCAGATTTAAAATTTGTGGTCCTTTTAGGGAATTTATGTTATCTAGTTAAGTATGCTTGAGAATTGATAAAATTCTCAATTTATCAATGTATCAATTGATACATTGATAAAAAAGCTGAGAAAGCCTTCTGAATCAAGATATATTTCATATTCATCATCTTAATATACACTTAAAAAAAAGTAAATTAAATGCATTTGAATCTAGTTACAGTAGTAACATAAAACAAAATAGCCTCAGGCAAACCTTAACCCTGGCATACATGAGCTACATAAATAGAAGAGCAAGTTATGCTGAGCACAATTTTCAAGTACAGAAGATACAAAATCCTCTTAAAGGCCATAGGGGCTAAATTGTTAAATTCATTTTTCTACATTTCAGGGAATGAGATAAACCCTTAGACCCAAGGAAGTCAGTTTTTATTATATTTCTGTAGTTTATTTTTGGCATACACTCACAGGTGTGCCTATGGCTCTATTCTTAATCCCTTTCCTTTGGGATGGCTCCAAGAGTAGCACAAATTTGTAACTCTGTAATTTAGCTCTTTAATTTTTTCTGTGCTGCACCGGAATTATGTTTTATCTTAAGTCCACACTGGATCCTCAGGATGGATCCAGTGAGGATTTTGAAGGAAGCATAATTCCTTTGACTTCTTTTAGAATTAATTTACCTATTAAATAAAAAGGAAAGGATTCATCTTTTATTTGAATTCCTCTGAGGCTAATATTTCAATATAAACTGATAAATGCTATGAGCATTATTATTCAGACAGCCACATTCAACTTGTATGACTACAANTGATAAATGCTATGAGCATTATTATTCAGACAGCCACATTCAACTTGTATAGCAAGCCTTCAGCATAGCAGCCTGAAGGACAGTGCAAGAAGGGAACAGGTAAAAAATATATATACCTTTTAGAAGAAAAAAGGCATTTCAAGTTTGTCCCCCCCCATATTTATATAATTGACAAATAACATTGTGTAAGTTTAAGGTGTACAACGTGATTTGATATACGTATATATGATTACCACATTAACATTAGTTAACACATCTATCATCTTACATATTTCCTTTTATTTTTTTTCAGTAAGAACATTTAAGATCTACTCTTTTAGCAGATTTCAAGTTTATAATACAGTATTGTTAACTCAGAACTTAATCATCTTTTTAAAAATCTAGTTTTATTGACGTGTAATTGACATACAACATTGTGTAAGTTTAAGATTCCCAATAAAAGTTGCTTTTTTTCTGTAAAAAATTTCCATTAATTCCATTATTGGCACTTATTTATTTGACTCTTGAAGTTAGCTGGTTTTATCACCAAAACTACCATCAGACCACCCTGACATTTTGGGCAGATAATTGGTAAACTAAGAAAATGGCTAGTCTTTCTAAATTATATCTGTATAAGTAAAAGGGGAGTAGAAAGAATAAACTGTCGTCATTGTTATTGTTCTCTAGGTTGTCCCTGGTTTTTGAACAAACACTTCTTTTTCCAGAGCTCTCATTTTGATCAATATTCCATCAGTACCTAATTGAAACATCTACCATATAGATTTTTGGTTGACGATATGAGAATAGTTGGAATAGTTGGTGACAACTGCAAAATCTATCCTATCATAATTTCCTTATTTTAGGCACATATTAGGTTTATTAGGGCTGAAGAACAAATGCCTGATGATTTATTCATTTATTTATTCTTTATTAATGCAACAGACATTTCTAGAGGTCCTGCTAAATAGCAGTTACTCTGCTGGGTTTTGGGGATCCATTGTTTAACGAAATGCATATAGTTCTGCCCTCCTGGGGTATGTGATCTGTGCTTGTGGGAGATTTACTTTAAATTAGTAATTAGAAATGTGGTGAGTGTTTTGAAAGTGCTATGGAAGCCTATGAAGAGGACACTTCATTTAGTCTGGTGGGTCAAGTGAAGCTTCCCTGAGAAAGTGATGTTTAAGATGAGTTGAAGGATGACAGGATTTAATATGGTCACAGTTAGAAAGCAAGAGTTTTGCCTCCATTTTAGGTCCTTAGGAAGTTTTTTTTTATACATATCTTTATAGCTGGCACAGAAGTAAACCAGGGTTATCAGATACTTTTATGTTTTTTTGTTTTGTTTTGTTTTTTGTTGATTAGAAAGCCATGAGATTATTTTTTTAAGTTGAGAACAAAAATCTACACAAAAACAGTAAATATAATTGTTACCCATTGTAGATGTTGGTGATAGCTGAAGTAATATACCTATGAAAATGTATACCTGAAAAGGTGAGATCCAGAAACAAAGAGAAGATGAAGAATGGATGGAATAGTGAGAATTACCTAAAATATATTTGTGATTTTTAACATTTTGAAGAAAAAGTATTTGGTGTCTGAGGCAGTCTATCACAATCTTTTTTTTCCTTTCCAACATACCTGCAAAATACGACATTTCCTTTAATAACTACAACTCAATTTGTTGATAGTAATTTTCATTTGGGAGAGGTGGGAATTATTAGAGTAGGTCATAATTGGATTTAGAAATCCATGAAAAAAAGGTGCTGTAAGAGAAAATGGTATTTTTTAATCCTCCCCCAAAGATATATTTGTATTGATTTTTAGAGAGAGAGGAAGGGGTTAGGGAGAGAGAGCGAGAGAGTTAGAGATAGAGAGAGAAAAAAACATTGGTTGCCTCCTATACTTGCCCTGACTGGGGATTGAACCCACAATCTTTACGGGACAATGCTCCAACCAACCAAGCCACCCAGCCAGGGCAAGAAAAAGGTATTTTAATATGTTAGTGAGAAATGTGATGGCTTTTGTATAAAAGTTAGCACTAAGCAGGCATGATCTGAGCTTTTAAAATACATTCTTTGTATGACTTTCTCTTACAGCATCACGGTTACAGACTTTCCATGATGTTTGGTGGTTATGAGACTATAGAAGCGTATGAAGATGACCTTTATCGTGAAGAGTCATCTAGTGAACTGAGTGTCGATAGTGAGGTGGAATTTCAGCTCTACAGCCAAGTTCATTATTCCCAAGATCTTGATAATGTCATCAGGGAGGAAGAACATGAAGACAAGAACTCTGGGGATTCTGAATCATCTAGTAGTAAGCCAAATCAGAAGAACTTAATTATCCTTTCAGATAGTGAGGTCATCCAGCTGTCAGATGGGTCAGAGGTCATCACTTTGTCTGATGAAGACAGTATTTATAAATGTAAAAGAAAGAATTTTAGAGTCCAAGCAAAAGGAAAGACCCGAGGTTCTCCTGCTTCTCTTCATTCTAATGAGTTGGATAATAAGAAGTGCAAGAGGGATATTGAGAAGCCTAAACCTGAAGAGAGATCGGGTACAGTCCGAGAGGTTATGATTATAGAGGTCAGTTCAAGTGAAGAAGAGAGCACCATTTCAGAAAGTGACAACGTGGAAAGCTGGATGCTGCTGGGATGTGGAGTTGAGGATAAAGATGATGATATCCTTCTCAATCTTGTGGGCTGTGATAACTCTGTTAATGAAGGTTAGTATCATATTGGCCATTTTGAAAAATAGTATCATCTTTAGAAGACTGCTTTCCTAGACACAATGGGTCTGCTCCATTTAATTCCTCACCTTTTGGTCTTGTTTTTTGCCTTGTTTCTTATGAGACTCATTTACCAATGGCTACTCTAATGGTGGTTTGAGCATCAGAAAGAGTATGTCAGAATATCAAAGACAATGTGCTTCTGCTGTAAGCAATTTCACAGCTGCTTCTTCCTGTTTGGCTAGAGCCAGTTCTGGACCTGAAATCTTAGTTTCCCTCTCTCTCTGCTTGGTACCACAGGTGAGTACTCCATCCACCTGTGACATTGGTCCTGTGTTCTCATTCAGCCAACTCTGTTGGGACTGCTGCTTCCTAAGTGATTTGCTTACCTAGGAGTTATCTGGGTAGCAAGCATGGGGAATTTCTGGTACTCAGAGGATATGGAATTAGTATTAAGATTTTAGGAACTTCATAATCAGTAAGGTGGGAAACTGGAAAGCTCTAAGTCTACAGTAGGCTGTAGGAGAGAATGTGAATTCTGAAAGCCACATCATTGAGGATTGACATTTCGGTGTTAGCTTTGTCTCCTCTGTCACATGTGGTCGTCTAATATTGATACTTATCCTTTTGAAAAGTCCCTTTCATTTCTCGCCTTTATAGCTTCTGCGTAGTCTCTTATAATAGTTTCCTAAATGATTTTTCTTTTTAATATATCTTCTCTGCACACTGTTGTTAAACTAGTGGTCCTGAAATGCCCTTTTACTCATAGTACTTTACTACTGCTCCAAAACCTTTCATGGTACCTGCTTGCCCTCAGAGGAATGATGATATTGAATGTCAATCATGCTTTGGAGCTCCAGAGACTGACAAACTTTTTATAAGGAGCCAGATAGGAAATATTTTAGGTTTCCAGGCCACAGAATCTCCTAGCTACTTAACTTTGCCCTTATTGTGGGCACAAAACCTAAGAAATGGGATGGTGGTTTCTGTCTTTATTTCTTCTTTTTTTGTTTTGTTTTTTAGAGAGAGAGAGAGAAATGATGTGAAAGAGAAACATCAATTGGTTGGTTGCCTCCCACTCGCACCTGACTGGGGATTGAACCTGAAACCTGGGTATGTGCCCTGACCCGGAATCCAACCTCCCACCTTTTGGTGTACAGGCAGATGCTCTAACCAACTGAGCCACACTGGTCAGGGCTGAGATGATTATTTCAACAAAATCTTATTTATAAAAACAGGTGGCTGCCTCAGGCTGTATTAGACCAACTGAGAATTTAACAGCAAAATGAAGAAAAGAAAAAGAATAGTATATAGAAGTAGTACTATTAATAGCAAAGAAGTAGAATAGAACATAGAGCAAAATCAAGGAAAGTTTTGTCACAATAAGGAAGATCTGATAATGTTTTTAGGTAGAAGGAAAAAACTTTTGAAGGAGATATTAAATCTGTTTGGTAGACTAGTAAGGGAGGAGCCAAGTAAAAGATGGGGTCAGGTATATATGTCTGAGTTAGTCTTAAAACGGAAGGCACACACCATTAATCATTAAATTATCAAATTTGTAGAGTAGAGAGCAGCATTGTTTTAGGGATATTTGTATTTAGTTTTATTGAGGTGTAATTAACATAAAATTAACTATTTTAAGGTGTTCAATTCAGTAGTATTTTGTTCATTCATAATATTTTAGAACCATTACATCTGTGTAGTTCCAAAACATTTTCATCACACCCAAAGGAAACCCTGCACCCATTGAAGTCACTTTCATTCCTTCCTCCTCAAACCCTGGCAACTGTTAATCTGTTTTCTGTTTCTATGGATTTACCTATTTTAGATATTTCATGTAAATAGAATCATACAGTATGTGCCCTTTTCTGCCTGGCTTTCACTTAGCATAATGTTTTGCAGATTTGTGCATGTTATATCCTGCATCAGTACTTCATTCCTTTTTAAGGCTGAATAATACTCCATTATTTGAATATACCACATTTTGTTTATCCATTCATTTGTTGATGGACATATGAGTGATTTCTATCTTTTGGCTATTGTGAACAGTGCTGCTGTGAACATTCATCCATATATAAGTATTTCTTTGAATACCTCTTTGGATATTCTTTTGGTTATATACCTATGAATGGAATTACTGGTATTTCTGTGTTTCACTTTTTGAGGAATTGCCAAACTGGTTTTCACAATGGCGTCACCATTATGCATTTCTACCAGTAATGTAAAAGGATTCCATTTAACTGCATTTTTTTTTATGATGACTTGTTGTGTTGCACATTTCTATATGATTTGCATATTTCTATTTGATAGGCTCTTTGTTATTTTTTATTTTTTTCTCCTAGTAGTCTGGTTTTTATAGCTGTTGCTTATGCTGGCTTATGTTTTTCTAGAATAGCTTTTTTGCATAAATTTTGCTTATATTTTTCATTCATTAATAGTTTTTAAAGAAACTAATTCATCCTTATAGTATGTATTCTTAAAAGTTTAGTGTATGTATTAGTAAAAATGTTTGATACAAGATCTGAGTAATACCAAGTAATTCTTGATTCCAGACATTCATTGTATGCTTCTGTTATCCATAGTGAAATGTATCCCTACTCTTTGCTTCAAGGATTTGTTTTTTTGTTTCAGCCAAATTGAAACAAATTCTGCAGTTCTGCAAATTAACTTGCTTGACTCTTGTAAACTCTTACAGATATTCAGACATATATCCCTATTTTATTTCCTTGATCTGCTAATGCCATAATCCTATTCTTTCCAGGTAATAAGCAGTATATTCAGTATTGATGCCTATTTGAGTGTGTTGTTATTCTCTAGTCATTATTATCTTGTTCATAAATAGATCTGGGGATAGATTTGGTTCAGTTTATATAATAGTCTTTGGAGAAAAGATTTTTTAATGTTGGTGGAAGTTTGTGGAAATTCTGGCATACTTTTGAAATGATGATTGTTAAACAGCAGCAACAGCTAATTTGTGTATTGCTCTCCCTCCCTCAACCCCTCCCCCCAAACTATGGCATATTAAAAATATCAATAGAATATAAGAGAAGAGATTATAAACTCCTTGAGGGTAGGTCTTTTCCATACTCAGAAGCCTCCTTATTATATTTAGAGTAATTCCCTGAAATACATATTACTTTGTTTTTCATTAATTGCTAAATAAACAAATACTTATTGAGCATCTACTCTATGTAGAATACATAGAGGGAATTTAAAGTGGTAAAAAGCAGTTTTAGCCTTAAGTTGCTTGTGTTTCACTGAAGAGACAAATATAATAAGAAGCTAAGTAATTTATGGAAGTCTCTTCTTAACCGTGGGAGTTAAGTCTCTCAAAATCCTGGTGATAGATGTGGTTGAAAACTTAATTCTTTACAAAAAATAAGATCAGTGAATTTGAGGTAGTACATAAACTTACAAAGGCCTGTGTAAGTACATACAGATTTCCCATTTACTATTATTAAATTTGTAGTAATGTGTACAGCACCACTCTTACCCTGTGGACAATTCAGGCTCTCTCCTATTATTTCAGTTCCAGTGAGATGCTTATATTTGTTTTATTTTAATACACAATTAGAGGCAATATACAATCAGGCAGATAATACATAATGGAAGGCCCCCCCCCCTTCTGTTCTTCCTCCAGTTTCAATACTTTTCTGATTTTCTGATTTTGAATTTGTTGATTAGCTTCCTGAGGTTCCATTGAGGCCTTGGGGATGTAATGTTTATATAATGTGTTCAGCCTAGCCTTCCTCAGCATATACAGTTTTATGATGAGGGCTTTACTTATAATAAATTCATGCCAAAACATAGGCCTTCAGTGCCTATTACATCTGGCTCTCAGTTTTCTCTACTGAGGGATGTAGGAGCTTATTTCTAAGATCAAGGCTTCATTCCTACATTTCTGTACTGTTTTCTAAGGCTTCTTTATATAAGCGATGCCTGCTCTATCATTTGTTTTCTTTTAAAAATTCTCACCCTTTATTTTCTTTCTTTTATTATCCCCAGTAGGATTGACTTGCAGTTCTCATGTATTAGACAGATCACCTGGCTGAAGAAAAAAATGCACCAGAGGAAATCAGCATGGTTTTTTTAATTTGTGAGAGTGATCTCAAGTTTGGGAAGGACTATTGTATAAGACAGCCAAATGATGGGAAGAGACAATAAATACTGTAAGAATTATAAAAGAATAATCAGCAACTTATTTTCCTGCATAGGGAAGGGCTGTTATTAGCTCTGGAATTAATTGCTAACTCTGTTAATTTTTTATTATGGAAGTTTTAAAGTATATAAGAATAGAATGTTATAATGAACTCAGTATCATAAACCAGCTTCAACAAATTATCCACTTATAACCAATCTTTTCTTATCTTTAACTCCATGCCCCTGTATTATTTTGAAGCAAATCACAAACATCATTTCATTCATATACAGGGTGGGGCAAAAGTAGGTTTACAGTGTAATTATGAGAAAGAGTTTATTCTTGTATTATTATTAATTATTGTATTATTTTCCATACGAACAACTATAAACCTTTTGCCCCACCTTGTGTATACATATACATACATTATTGCATTTTAATATGTATTTCTGAAAGGTAAAGATTATTCTTAAACAATCATATTATCACACCTAAACGATATACGCGTAAGAGTTTTGGATACAATTTCAGAGGATGAAAACTTTATTTAGAGGCAATTGCTGAATCCCTGGCATTTATTAGGCATTCAACCAAGACTTGATAATTAAAATTTGGGTAGAGTGGTTTACCTATTTGAATTTCAGTTTTTTAAATATGTCATATTTTATTTGGCCTGGATCTTTACATATGCTGTTTTTTTCTGCCTGGGTCAGTTTCTACCTTGTTTGGCTGATCTTACCTTGTCTCAGTTTAAAGTATACTTCTGAGTGAGGTAACAGTCATAGGTACTAAATTAGTGGTAGTTTATTAGGTTTGTTACAGCTCCACAGTTGACTAGCTGTAACTTTGGGTAACTTAA